CGCGTGGCGTTGACGTTTCTGATTCATGCAGAAGCAGATCGCGCAATTAGGGTGGAGCGCGGCCTAACCTAACGCGGTGAGCCAACACGCCCGAAATCGGAATAATAATTTCACTCAAGTAATTTGAATTGGAGAGGGATTTGTGTTTATTAATATGGTACGATACCCTCCACGATTTCTGAACGTCATGTGTTACGTGGCCTTTGACAATTATTATTTATTGTTTCTGCAATTCGAGTTTTTGTATATACAAATCAGTAACTTTTAAATGTCGGTGGTAACTTTATTGTCTTTTAAAATTCTTTTTCTGTACCATGAAGTCTAATTTTAAAGCCTGATTCTGACATAGTAGTGGTCGACTTGTGGAATTTCTTTTATCTAGTCATTGCGAAAGTAAGTAATGATGTCTCTTGTCCGTTTTGTGCCTCCGTCGTCGCGTCGCGGCGGTGCCGGCTCCATCCGGTCCGCTCACGGCTGCACGAGCACCTGCAGGCCGGCCACCGGCCCGCACAGCTGGCCCGCGTTCTCCTTCATGTGCAGCCAGTTGTTGAGGTGGAAGATGTTCTGGTCGGCGGGTGCCGTCAGGTTCACCTTGGCGGCGGTCTGCTCGAACAGCAGCAGCTGGACGCGGTGTACGTTGGGCCCCACGGAGCCCTCCGGGGCGGCGGGCACGGCGGGCGGCATCCAGGCTGCGACAGAGACAGAGAGAGGCGTAAGGTGGTGTCTGAGCCGAGCGGTCTCCGGAGGTCTCTCCTCCCGGGAGTAATTATTGTCGCGCGCCTCGTCGATTAGGCGGCCTCGCATGCAGCGCGCGACGGCGTGCGTGCGGCAAGGAGGGGCGGCTCCAGACCCGGGGCCCCGGGGCTCCCCCGAGCCCCCGGACCCTTCCCCTGGAGACGCACAACTTGAAACGCTTTGTCCTCGAACTTGACTCGCGAGCGAGGCGCCTTGGCAGGGAGCTGGTTGTGTGCGACGTCGTGGCGCACTTCGTAGGATGCCTGTAAAGTACATTCAGGCCGCTTAACTTGCTGCCCCCCCCCCCTACCTCTCCCTCTCTCCCTTTATACCCGTCAGACTGTCTGACTGGGGCAATGACCGGGGGGTCTTATTTGGACGAGCCGTGTGATTTGTGTTCTGCTGTGTGTGGGCGCGCGCTACAGTTGGAGGAAATTTATAATGCATGCCAAAGTTACACGTCTGTTGACGACCTGAACCCCCCCCCCTCTCCCACCTCTAAGTACGGTACCCAGGTTTGATTAGCCGAAGGAGAAGAACAAAAACGAGCATTTTACCACTTTCAAATACGGGGATCAGGCGAAAATCCAAAACACTAGGCCAGTTTCTCATATGTAAAGAAGATATACCCGTGAAGCTTGCTATAGGGTTATTCTGTCATAAGTTTGTCGTTTGATAACGACATACATACGGTAAACGTAGGACGAACAAACGCCGAAAGTACGACAAAACAACTGAAAAAAACGACAGACAAAGGCGTCGTAGATTTGTCGTTTTTGGTATGGTAATTTGTCCGTTATACGACGCTTTCCACGCCAAAATAACGGGAAAAAAAATATACATACTTATCTCTATAAGCCATACGGGTAGTATACTATTAATTTCTGATTTTTGTTTTTTTTTGTTTTTATTTGCTCTCGTTTTCTTCTCTTTGCGCTGCAGCAGACCTCTGGGTCTGGGTACCCTATTCCGCTTGCGCGCAGATCTGGGCCTAGGTCACCAGTTCAAGATTATGTTTTATCTTGCCATGACAGATTTTCTCATGCATTCCTCATCGTTGGTTTGGTCGTCACCCCCCAGGCCCCCCCATAGCAGACTGCTTACTGTAGTGGGGTTTTTAGCCCTTTTGTTGGTAGTCTTAAATAAAAATTATTTCAATTTCAATACCCTGAAAGCTTACCTGTGACAATCTCGGCCGACTCCACCTTCCCCGTATAAAGCTCCTTTTCCTGCGACAGACAAACACACCCACGTCAGCCCTGGCGACTAGTTATAACTGAAGTTAAGCTTGAAAAGCAATAAACTAGCTGATATTATATGGCAAAGGTATTGCCGTTTCGTTCGAAGCGATATGGTGGGACTGTTGGTAAGCATCAGGGGGGTGTTTTGAAAATTTTGTAACATATTACATATTACTTATGACAATGTTGGAGATTATTCCCACTTAGCTAAAAACAGAAGAAAAAAGAACAAGCGGATACAGTTTGCATAATATGCAATGCTGTCATGGCGTTTTAGTGACGCTGCGACATATCTGAACTCGAAGTATGTGAAGAACAGTTTTACGTCCCACATCGGTGAGTGCAAGTTTTTCTTCTGTGCGATGCGAGGTGCGATGTTTACCCACATTCACTAATATCAATCTAAAGATTTTCAGAGAAATTTTGCTTTAGGGTCCTGGATCCTCCCTCGTTCTATGGTCCGACGGCCGACGGTCAGAATAGCCCATACGTTTGTTTTAGTTCAATCCGAGCAATGCAACATGAGATGTGCTCTCGCCCCTTTGATAGGAAGAAAATACAATAGTTGTTTCGCCACTGGAATAACGCCCTGCGGGTCGCACATTGAAAATGCCGACGACATGGTACTCGGTGTGGTACCTTGTCAGGCACGACGCCTACTTGTGCACAGTCATATTCAATTATTGGAATAGATAATCACTGGGCACAAAAGTACACAGTACAGAGTAGTGGCTACAAAAGGTTTCCATAGTATAATTCGTGAAAATTTCCAGAAAATCGTGGAAATTTCCAGAAAATTGTGGAAATTTCCAGAAAATTGTGGAAATTTCCAGAAAACCGTGGAAATTTCCAGGTTCCAGGTTCCATCCTAACTCCACATTACTCTTACGATTCACCCACGACCATGTTCAAGAACGAGGTTATTCCTTTGCACAAAATGGTTTTTTGGGGTTCCATGTCTGGCCGTGTGTGCATTCTTTCTTGGCCAGGCTTGCCGGGGACGTTGCTGCAAAAGAATAGAAGAAGAGACGGGAACGGACGGGAAACGTTTCAAACACATTAACATAATAGGTTTGAGTGCGCGTACCCGGGCGCGTGCTGGCAAGAAAGGCGAGTCTATGAAAAGGTCCTCTTCCGGGCGCTCACCGCTCGTGTGTGTGTGTTTGGAAAAGGGAGGGGGGGGGGGGAGGGGCACTCGCGTGACGGACGCGTGCCGTCAGTGGTGGACACGCACGCCCCCCCGCAGGACAATGGAGCGATGGTCGAGGAAGAGGATGCGCGAAATTCGGCGGCTCTAAGTAGTTTCTCCGCTCTCCCGCGGCGTTCTATACTTGTTGGTTTTTACGAGGAGCATAATTTTCTTCCACGAGCCGCTGGCAACAACATGGAGCAGTGTTGCGACGTGCCCGGGCTAGCATCAATTCGTTTTACTGCGACAAAGCCTTCTTCCTTTTGCAAATCGCAAATTATTATAGGAGGAGGATCTTTTTGCTGGCCGCGTCTTCGGTCAGGACCAGGAGGGCCCGACCTCCGTGGGACCTCCGGGGCTATAAGGTGCCCCGGCCGCGCTCTCGCTCGAGCTCTCGCTGTTCCAGCAGAATGATTTTCAGCTGCTGCCTGTAAAATTGAAGTCGGGATGGGGCGTTGTCGGCGGGTAGCAGCGCGAGCAGCGGGCGAGGGGCTTAGGTGCGCGCCGGTGAGCGGGGGCGGAGGGGGCGGAGGGGGCGGCCTTGACGTCTGGCGGGGCGTGGCGGGCGCGCGGGCGGCACTCCAGCCGGAAGATCCTCCCATTTTATGGCAATTGCATAGCGGTGTTACGACGTAGCGATTATTCGGGAGGTGGTTCCGTGGCGTGGCGTGGCGTGGCGTGGCGTGGCGTGGCGCGGCGGCGTGCCGTGACAGACGCTTTGCTCCCGTTGGCTGACGCACGTGCACCGCGCTGACCATTATCGGATTGCTGCGTGTATAAAAAGACGTTAATAAGCAGGGAGCAGGTTGAGCAGCAAACATCCTTGTTTATAGTCGCCGGTGCCGGGCGCGAGCATTGGTCAGAGATGATTCCTTTTTGCTTCGCGATATCAAGGGGCGAGCCGGCGAGCCGCGCCGCGCGCGGGGGCTCCCACGGCCAGACGGCCTGAACTAGACCGAGACCTTGTCTCAACACCAGTGTCAACGCGCGGCAGTGAAAAGAAGGTAAATAAGAAAGGGGGAAAACAGAAGAACGTTGCCCGCTGAAAAAATATTTGGTAGCTAAACATAAACGATGGACATCCACGATCAACATGCAAAAAAAAAAAGAAAGAAAAACAAACAATAAACGAATACTTCAGTAAGTCGTGTGATCCTCTCTCTGACAAAATTAATCCGATCGAATGTGGTGGTGTGTTTTCACGTGCTGGCCTACATACGTAACTAGGGGCGCTCTGCGCGCCGCGCGCTCCGCGCTCGCCGGCCCTGCCCGGGCTGAGCCCTGCCAGTCCGGTCGCCAAACGGAATGCGTAACGCGGTCGGACTTTGAACAGCGCTGGCCCGCCGCCATCCACCGCGTGCGCGTGCTCGTGCACGCTCACTGCTCCAAAGTTTGCGTGCCCTTCACGTTTTAAAAGGCCGCCAATCGGCGAGCAATGTATGCAGATTCTGTGTGTTTACAGCTACTCGAATAAAACCAAGATAGGTATGCGACGCGTGTCGTCCGCCGTCCGCCGTCGCGCGGTCGCCTTACCGGGATGTTGGACTTGATCTGCAGCAGCTGGAACTCGCCGTAGCGCAGGCCGGGCTTGTCCGGGTCGACGATCACAAGGGCGTAGCCGCGGTCCTGGCGACAAAAAAACAGCTTTTGTTACTGATACGCGAGGTTTTACAAAACAAACAAAAATAAAAAGAATGAAAACATTGGTCGCTGGTGCTTCGGAACCAGTCCATCTTGCCATTTCGGAGGTCACGACGCCACGCATACATTATGCAGCAGCAGTCGCCAAGTATCCTGGTCCTCTGCCGGACCCAGTACCATCAGTACCGGGCAGCACCCCGTCAGGAGCCCGCAGGAGTGCTGCAACGGTACCAAGGGTGTTGCTGACTGTGGGCTCACCAAGTCCGGCAGGCTGAATCGCACGGTGGGCTCGCCCTCTAGGTCCGTCTTGTTGAGAAGCTTGTTGCAGGTGAAGGAGTCGGCGATGGCGTTACCGTCGGACGAGGTGAGGGTGAGCCCGGAGCCCAGGTGGCACACGGAGCCGGGCACGCCACCGCCCCCGGGCACCAGCGCCAGGCACTGCAGACCCGTCCACAGCGACAGCACGGTGGGCGCGCCGAACGAGTGCGGCACGGCGCCCGAGAACCCCGCGTAGTACCCCGAGTAGGGCAGCGCCAGGTTGGGCGACATCTGCGTGGACACAGGGTGCATCAGTACACGTCGGCAATGTCGTTTCAAAAAAAGGACAAGAAAAACAAGAAGAAACGGGAAAAATAGCTTTTAAGATGGTGACATTATCGAGGGTCGTTTAATCTCGGTAAAAATATTGGCCGGGAAGCTGCGCACTGAGGATAACAACAATGTCGAGGGGAAGTGCGGCTCGTCGCCACGGCCCGTCGCCACGGCCCGCTCCTTGTAGCTACTGGAAATTGCCGAGCCGTTCCTAAGAACCGCCACGCCCCACCACGAGGCACGCCCCGCCTCAAACCGTCATAATCGCCCTCGACGACGAAAAAAATTCAGACGACGCGATCCGTTAATGACCTAAAGCGTGCCCCGCTTTGGCGGAGAGGCAGAATGTTGCGAGAGCGCAACACGCGTCTGAAGATGTTTTAGATGCGACAAAGTAATAGCAAGACATAATACGATAAAGATCGTACTGTAAAAGAGACTACATGCCGAAAGACTTCAATCAGAAAATGTTTTCCTGTACGTGATGAAATATCGACCGTCTTTGTTCGGCAGGCATTATGTCTATTTATTGTGCGTCGGTTTCCCAATCAAATGTTTCTAAATGGTTTACGCGAGCGTCATCTGACAATGTGACTTCTTGTTCCTGACCGACATCCTGTCCCGCTGCCAACTCGTTCACCTCCGCGCCGTCGCCGCGCGAGTCATCGACTGCAGGCGCCCGACGACACTGTCTCCGCCCGCTAACATACTCATTTACGCGACGTGCGATCAGACCTGACGTGACACTCACGCTCCAGCTCACGCTCCTTCATACTCTCCATTCCTACTCTGGCTCCTACTCACGCACCCACGTACTCTCATGCCTCTCACGCTTCGTCTTTTCCTCCTGTTCACGAACTTGTTTATGCTCCTTGTCACGCTCCTGGTCACGCTCCTGCTCACGCTTTTTCTCACGCTATTGCTCACGCTCTTGCTCACACTCTCTCTCACGCTCTTGCTTAACACTCCTACGCGCTTGCTTACGCTCCTGCTCACGTTCTTTACGCCCCTACGCTCTTGCTTACGCTCCTGCTTACGCTCCTGCTCACGCTCGCCCACGCTCACGTGGCGGCTCGTACCGGCTACAATAGGAAGAGGAGGGGGAGAATCGCGCCTATAGCTTCACGCTGCTGCCCGTGTATACATGCCGTGGACGATACTTCCCTTCCTCTTTTTATATTCCTTGCCGTACCGAAGGGGGAGAGGATGTAAGTGAATACTGTATCACTGGGCCACACTGCACCGCAGAGAGGGAGAGAGAAAGAGAGAAAAAGGGGGGAGGGGGGCTAACGGCTCACGTTGTGGCTTTTAGTCATCTCTGTAGTGCCTGCGGCCGCACTATCGGTCAGCGCCTCGTAGCGGCGGGGCGCCGGGCGGGGCGGGGCGGGCTGAGGTGGGGCACACACTGCAAGGTCGCTCCGCCACGCGTACATTTGCATGCCGCGAAGGCTCCGGCGCGGAAACACCCGGCCGGCTGCGCTCCGCATGGAAACACCGCCGCCGCGCTCTCTTGTCTCCGCGGCGTCCGTCCACGTCCCGTCCCGTCACGCGGCCCCCCGGCCGGCCGGCCGCGCAGACGCCGGGGAGGATTTGTAAATATAATGGAGATTAAAGCGGTGGGCGTGGCGTGACGTGGCGTGGCGTGGCGGGGCTGGGTTAAGGGTAGCGGGGCTCATCGCGGCCCCTGCAGAGTACACAAGAATCCTCTCATCCCGACCGGAGCACGCCCGGCTCGCCCCCGGCCCGGCGCCACGCCACCGCCAACGCGGTAAAGAGCGTGATCATCACGAGGCTCATGAGCACGCCCAACCAACCAGAACCAACAAATAGATTCTACTAGTCCGGGGGGCGCTGTTGAGTTAAGCGGAAGGCAAGCGCGCGCCCCCCGCAGAGGGAGGGAGGACCCTCCAACAGCCATATCTTTCATGTTGGGAGGAATTCCGAATTTAGTGCGCGACGAGCAGGCGGCGCGTGCGGCGTGTAGCTAACCACCGCCGCCGCCCCCGCGAGAGCACCGTTGTTAATTACTTTGAGACTGGCCCGCGTTATCGGATTTGAACAATTTTTAAAATTAATTTGAAAATTTATTTTGGGGAAGGAAGGGCAACCACCACCTCTAATAAAGAGGGGGAAATCTGCTGGCTGGTCCGTAAATAATAAAGGGGGACCGCCGCGGAGGTCGTGCCACGCCACGTACGGAACTTTCGGTTCAGTACTATCGGCATCACTTGCTCTGAGGGAAGTTTGGCGCTCAGTATACTACTCACCGCTGCTGAGTTGGACGCCGACTGGACTGCTGGGCGGCTGGACTTGGACTGCTCCAGCCTCTCCTCTCCGCCACTGTACTCTGCTGGGCGGTACCTCTCTATGCAGGCCGACAGGAGCGGCGGCGGCGGCCCCCCTCTTAATGGGATGGTTAGAGCCGTGCCGGCGAGGGGGAGGGGGGGCGCTGACATTCTCATACTCACGCGCGCCGCGAGGACCACGTGCGAAGCCGATTGAATGCATTACTGCCCACATTAAATACGCATACTGGAGCGGGGGCTCGGACGGCGGTATGAGAAACTGGTAATGGAGTCGGAAAGCGCGTTCTCGCGTTCTCCCCCCCTCCCTCCCTCTCATCGCTTTCCGTCGCGTACGTGTGTGTGTGTGTCTGTGTGTGTTTGTGTGTAACGTGCCAGCCAGGACGCAGCCCTATCACCATTTGCCAGTCTAATGGAGTTTACTTTAGCTAATTTCATTCGGCCTCACCTTGGGCTTGGGCGCGAGTTCTCACGCGATGTCATCGCTCGCGCAGAGCGGCACTGCGCGGCGCGGCGCGGCGCGGCCGGAGTATGTCCTTAGAGTGCAGCCCGTGGGAAGTGCTGTGCTATGCAAAATCCGTCGGGAGGGAGCCGGCAGGCGCGGGTGGCGCGGTGTATATACAAACTTGGGTGTTTTGTAAGTAGGAGCATTTTCACATCCTCCACAATAAGCGGGCGCGCGTTATCGTTTGCTGTTGTTTGCACTTTACTGTTGGCGAGTGCGTGAGTCCCCCCGCCCCCTCCCCCCTGGGGCCTAATGGGTTAACTGGTCAAATCCAGTCGCGTGCTGCTCAACCTCGCCGTCCTCGAGCGGGCTCTTCATTGTGCGGCGCGCTGGTCGCTTCGATTCCATATCCCCGTTGTTATCGTGGTTATCTCTGGCGCCCGCTATTACTGGAGGCGAAGGCCCGGCCCCGGCCCGACTTGGGGTTATTTATAAAGCTTCCGATTCCTGCGTGCGGGACGCGCAGGGCACCGCCGGCCCGCGCTCCGCGCTCCCTCCCGCGAGATGCTACCGCTGCTGCTGCTACTTGCCCCGACTTTATCTCATGAATAAATTAGCGACCGTGCCGAGCAGTGACGTCTCATACAATATTGCTTGTAATTAACCATATTTCTGCAGCCGGCTTATCGTTTAGTGCATTTTTATTTAGATAATTTTCAGGTGATCACAAAAATAAACGACAACGCACCTTGCGGTTGTTGTTTAATTTTTACTTTCAAGTTTTGGTCGGGCTCAAGTTTGAAGTACGAGCTATCGCTTATCAAGAGTTTTGGGGACAGTTTCGGGACAACACTTTATTGAACAGGTAGCTGCACGCTAGACCATGTCTTATTTTTATACCAGGTGTTTCTGTGCTCGCGGATGTGCACACAGTGCGGATAAAACAAACACAGGCACTTCGAGTGAACAAACAGAGAAATCATCTTTTGAGTGAGTCTTAAGTGATAGTCTTCGCTTCGCTTTCCCTGAAGAATCGTCCTAGTCCATTTTTCTCGTCGACTTTCGAGCGCTTGGCGCCTGCAAGACTCAGGGTAGGCCACCCTGCAGTACCCGCATGCACATCAGACAAGGTTTTGCCTATCTATCAGGCGCTACGAGTGCTGCAGAGGCTTCCGCGCTGTGGTTGAACGTGTACCGGGTGATTCAGAGAAGACACGGGTGCGGGCTGGTTTGCCTACCTAAGCAGGGGCCATGGCGCCTTACGGGCAGAGCGAGTAGACAAACCAGGGCGCGACACAAACCACAAACCACCTCAAACTTAGTAACAAACGCGCATAAGCTTCCATCTTGTTGCAAACGTATTTCGCTATTATTAAAAATGTTTCAAGTTAAAATTGCACTTTATAAAATCTTTCAAACTGTTAGACGTCTTGCACGGCCAAGTCGAGTGCGGTCTGGGGAGGAGCAAGTTAAGGAAGGGTTGTACGGATGCGACCGGGCCGGGGCGGCGGCATGCAAATGGCCCTGCACAGGCGGGCCGGGGAAGCAAGGCGGGGAGTCGAGGGGAAAACTAGGTTGGTCGGGCTGCAGGCCTATCAGATGGCGCTTTGCGCAATACTGCCACCCTTATTTGCGAGTCTGCGCCGGCAGTAGTCCGGCGGAACGCGTCCCGCCCCGCCGTAGCCGCCCGCCGCCAGCACCGGCACGGACGGCAACGGACGAGCAAGCTGCTTGCTGCTGAGAGTGCCCCGCGCGCCGTCCCGAAGAGAGTTGGTTCAAATTT